TTACTATAATATGAACTCAAACTAAGCATTTTAATAAGATACTAACTAATACCAATCTAATAAAAGATTAAAAAGAAAAACATAGATACGTTCCAATAAATTTAGAATACAGTAAAGCCGCCTCTTTTGTATATTTATTTACATTCAGATTGAGGCTAAGGACCATAGTAGTCGATGCTTAAAAAAACACCAAACTGTGTTGTGTAATTGTTCACTAGCTCACTTAAGTTATATTGATTAGAACAAAGTTACGTTGGTTCAGAAGTTCGTCGCCTAAACACTTAAAATAATGAATTTGCAATAGTCAAGTTACACAAAACTAAAGTCTTCTATAGTAAAATCAATACCGGCGCATCCACCAAAATATTCTTATTATTAAGTTAATCTTAGAAATATGAAACTTCCGTTTATTATTTTAAATATAAATCATTAAATTTTCATTCAAATTAATACATAGATCTACGACGTGTAGAATATATACAATCCGTTTAACGTACTATTGATTCTTGATATGTAATAACATGCAATAATAAGATGTTAATAAAAGCTTACTAAGAAGCTATAACTAATATAAATCTGTTAAAAAGGGTAAACTAAAACGTATCCGTTTAACGAACATTTAGCGTACAAAAATATATATATACAAATTATGTATGTTGAAAGATCATCAAAGATATACAACGATTGTTGGTATAAATAATAATATCATCATAGCATATTCAAATCATATCAATATAATGTAGAGAATAAGCAAATATTAAAGGTAAATTTAAAAAATGTCCTATTTATATGCAGGAGAGTTGGATATTTCAATTTTATTTTCTGTACTTATTTTTCTCTTGTTGTTGAATGAAACTTAACATCGTGTATGTACAATATAAATTGAGTGTTATTGTCATGGCGCTTTTATCTTTTCTGCAAAGCATGTTATGCAATCCTCGCTCTTTTTCTTCAATGGTTGCCGTATTTTCCTTCACAAACCGTTTATATGTTTTGAGATAATCTATCCTCACTGGATGCTGATCCGGAATACATCGGTAACATTTATATATTTTAACTTTAAAATCGATGACATAAAAATATATAAATTCGTTTTGTAAACGCACAATGTATATTTTTGTCCATTTCATAACATATTATTTAATTTATGTGTAATTCAATAAAATTTGATTGAAATTTATATTCTACATTGAAAACACATAATAATTGTTTTGTTTATATTTCATATTAAATAATAATATTTATTTCAACAATAAATTACAAAATAAAAACTCAATACAATAATAAAAATAAAATCATAACTGATGTAAATTGAACATAGGTCCTATCTGCTCAATTTTATATTTTATTATTATAATATTTATATAAAAAAAAAATTTTAAAGCTATTGTTTAAATATTTGTTCGAATATATTATTACGTTCGGTTAATATAAAAAAAAAACAATTATTTAAAGTTATAAACTTGTAAACAAATATTATTATCAATGAAAGGAAATATATTTGTAATATTTCCAATAAAATAATATATTTTAAGATAAATATATTATAAATATTTTACAGATTTTAAGTTTGTACTAATGTACTAAAATTACATTATAACAAAATTAAAATGTTAATAATAAAAAGATGCATGTTATGTTTAAATCAAATTTTATAATAAATTTAAATTATTTGTATTTCTATACATTTTAAAAGTTAGTAAATACTATTAGTAGAAAGTCTTCAATTATTCTTACGGATTTATTATTTATTTTATTTCATAATTTCTGTTATTATATAATTGCTGCAATAAATAACTTTAATATTATAAAGCTTTTGATGTAATCTAAAATTCCAGACAATAATTGTATCGAAAGATTTACAGAAAAAATGTTCATATTAAAAGAAAAATAGCAAGGAATTATGTTGTATTCATGACTGCCAAATGATATAGAATGGTTTAGAGGTCATGATAGAAATATTTATATACTTAAAAGAATATATTTATATATTTCGGTGATTCTCACATGTGAAATGGAGCAGAGTATTGTAAAATTTTAGAGCTCCTTAAAGTTTGAAGACTTCTATTCATATTTTATTCAATAATTTTTATAAAAATATACTTGAATACTTATATAATAAAATTAATATATTTGTATTTACATTGTTTCATGACTAAAGCTACATTCAATTACAGTTATCTAGTTAAACGTAAAGCCCACACGCGCTTAGGCGAAGATTTATGTTTCTGACATCGACTATAACTCGTAGGTGAGTATAATTAATCTGGGAAACTAGGTGAAGATGTGAGGATACTTTTAAAACTTTATAGCAAAAGCTGTCTAATATTGATTAATTGAGAGTTGCAAATTTAAGTTGAAAGATGGATGGAACATAATAAGAAAAACAGGGTAAAAGTTTATTTTACTAAACCTATTTTTTTTATTAATATCTATTATATTTTGAATATCATAAAAATAAATATATATATATAAATTCTTTCCATCCATATTGAAATATTTTATAATAGCAATAGTAAAAAATTGAGAAAGTTAAAATTATACAAAAATTTAAGACAAGCGACCAAATCTTATAAATATGTTTAATATAATATTATACATATAATATCAAAGGAAATCCCGGTATGTTACAGAAAAAATTAATGAATTACGGTTTTATCATAATAACTACTTTTTATAAGTTGTGAGCAGCGTGAATGCGTATATGCAAGGATTAATGTACTAATTGTTAAAATTAATTCCATACTCTGTATATTTCAAATGCATTTAATGGATAGTAGTTTATAATAATTAACTTCTTATTTATTAATTAATTATCGAATTTAATAAACTAAATCGCAACTAAAACTTAAATATATGTTTTCAGAATGACGAATGGATTAAATTAATTTGATCGAGAAAATAATATATACTGGTTGTAAAAGTATTTTAGAAGGATACACTTATTATACAATAACTGTTAAATATGTTTATATAATGCACCCAATAGATGAAATAAGTTTCAAAAGACTGCAATAGTAAAAATGGAAAAATATTAACAAATACAAATATTATATTATGTGCTGATTGTGGGAATAGTTTTAGCATTTATATATTAGGATTAATTTATTATATAATAACTCTCATATTTGTTTAAATAAATTCCCTATGTTTCAATTGTAATTGAAAAAAGGATTTGTGTAGTTGTAATGCCACTAATGGATTAAATAAATTCAATAGGACTGCATCACTGAAAATCAGAAAATATTATCCAACAAAACTAGTGATCCCTTGTACAAAGTCAATTCAGTCGTGAAACTCAGCGTGGATTGATGAATCGTCCGGTTTGTCCCATTTGTCTGAGCCACAAATCGGTGCCGTTGGAAAATCAGCGGCCGCTTCCAATAAATTGGAAGCCCATTACGTAACTGCAGTACTTTGATAAATTAACACTCGCTCAGTGGTAATTAAGTCGGAGCACACTTTATACGTATACTATATAGTATTACATATATACGTTAGCAATTATCTCGTTACGGACACAGATACACATCTACTATGCTTTTCACACATGCAAACGTATACATTAATGTTTAAATTTGCATAGAATGTATACCACCGATATTGTACTTTGATATGATTCCGAATCACATTCCTATATTAATGTATATACTATATACACCTCTGTACTGCGGAATACATTAAATTGGATTTCTCGTAACGATCGGAGCGTGAACTCACTCTGTTCTCTAATTAATGCAGACTCCGCTGAATATTAAACACTGCGCACATATTTTCTCTAATATAATAAAAGTATGCATAAAATTATTACTTTATTACACAAAAATTCTAGCAGTTTAAATTGGAACACAACTTTTCGTAATTTTAGCTAATAGGATAATTGAGAAAATTAGTTATTCATTGATTACATAAGAAAACTGTACATTTTCAACGTCATCAATAATGGACGATGGGGAAAATTTAGTTATGCGTTAGGTTACTTAATAAAACAATATACTTTTAACATAATGAAGCACTTTTGTTATAGAAATCTAAATGACTTTAATAAAAATAGGCTTGGATTAGTTTCTTAAAAAATATGTGCTTTAAATTGATTAAAGATTAAGATATTACTTTTACTACGATTTCTGAAAAAAAAAAATCAAATTGGGAATTATTATTATTGCAATTAAATAATTTGCAATAAATAAAAATAATTAAGTTAGTATTATAATTCAAATGTATATGAATAATATTTGTATAGTTTAAAATGTGACTATGTGCGTTACATATATTCATAAAGGGTCGAGACGAAGTATATCTACTTCAAGTTTAATGGTTGTCTCATAAGTTTACATATAGATAATGGTTTTAATGAATTGAAACGCATAACCTAGTCCTAAAGTGCAATAACAATTAATTAAAGTAAAAGTGAATTCTTGAAAGTAAAGAGGATAATCAGCAATTAAAATTCTATGTAATCATGAGAAATTATTGGAATTCATGTCATCATCTCTGTGTCCATGAAAAATATTAGAAACAAATTTTAACTAAAAGGTTAAATTGTTATATTTCTTATACAAGGTACAAAGGTCATCCGCAGCGCGCAGGACAAAAGCGCAACGAAAAATCATGCAATAACTAAAGCTCGCAGTAGTAAAAGCGCGCAGGACAAAAACGCGCAGTTTAATGTATTTAGTAAAAGCGCGAAGACAACATCGTCAAATGCCCACACGATACATACATATTCTCGTTTTTTGTTGGCGCACTTTTGTCCTACGCGCTTTCATTGCGACGCTGATGCAAATAACGTCGATTGCGAATATATAGACAATACATTATTATTACTATTTTTTCTGTAACACTATGTAATGGTGTATATTTATTTTTGTTGTTATTATTTTATTTATAAATACGATTTTTTATTTATTTAGTATGATTGAAATTATGCAATTTCGATGATATTAATTAAAAAATATCAAATTCGTATATTACTATTATATGTTTATAAGTATTCTTACCTATTCTGATAACATCTGGTAGAGGAGTTGCCAAATCTATAAATAATAGTATAACTAGGATACTAAATAGGCGGTCCATCATTTCCGATCATCTAAAACAAATTTAAAAAAAATCAATAAAAATCAATAATCACTATTATCACTCATCTGATTATATTTCATTTGTATTTAAAAAAATATTTTATTATTTAAAAATATAATATTTACGCTTAAAAATTTTTATATAATTTTATTTAATGAATACTCTTTGGTAGAAATCATTTATAAGTAATTGTAAATAAATGAAATGTTAATTTATATATTTCAACAATTACTTGTCAAAATATATTAGAAATTTATTTTAATTAATCCAGTTACAGGGTGCAATAAATTAAAAATATTATTACTTTTACCTACAAAATCTTTATGAATTATTTAATCATTTCATACAATATTTACAACAACTCTGGTATGAACTAAATCGA